CAGCTAAGCTGATAGAAACTAGCTAAAAAAACTAATCATTACTTTCAACATAATTTCAAGAAATAATCAATAGAACAAAAACTGCAATACAAAGCCCACCTTGAAGCTAAAAATATAAATGGTAAATTCATAACGCGTCAAGCAATATTTATGAAAAAAACAAATAATCAAAAAATCATGCACCCTGAAAGAACAACAGACAATAAAGGAATTAAAGCGAAAATTTCGGAAAAGTAACCTGTTTTTCCGCAACATATTTCATCGGACTTGCGTCTTTTTTCACCTCTATGGCATAAGAAGAATCACTGTCTACAGAAGGCACATAATTTTGAGAGGATTTTTGAATAAACTGGGATAAGTGACCATCCGCTTTAAAAGAAGTCTTGTTTATCAGTCTAAATTATTTCACTGATTTAAGTCAAAAGAACGTCTCAATTCCCCACCGGGCACTGCTCTAAACAACTAAATGAAAACGCGACATCATTCTATAGCCTGTCTCCTTCAACAATTACTTCGCCAACGAACGTTTACGCTTTAATGCTTCACCGGTTTTTCCAAAAAAAACTCTTATTAGAACCATATAAAAAAGTTCAAACACAGGAAATCTAGCATGTTCAAAAGGCATTACTTGTGCTCCCGATCCTGAAATGAGTCGTCGATTCTGACATCTGAAGCATAACAATTTCGTCTACCATCTCTCTCAATAAAAGAAAAACCGCCTGAAAATATGAGTGAAGTTGCAATCCAGACATGTATTATCAGTCAAATAAAGCTATAATAATGATAATCCCTATCATATCCATATCAAGGTAGTCCTCCTCAAAATAAGGACAGAAAGTTCAAGCTTCTATATTTACTTTTTTTAAAACGCATAATGCTAATTGATTACAACAATGTAAAAGGCGCAGAAATATGGCTTTACTAGATTTGAGCGGTTCTATAAATTAAATTTTTGAACTTAGCAAATTTCATCAATCAAAAATAAGCTAACAAGTAAGTCAGACGAATGCCAAGTTAAATAAGCAAGAAAAAGTTTGATAGCTGCAAGCAAGTTAATGGTAAACCTGAAGAACGATAAGGTCGACCGCCTAAGTCAAAAGTGGACATCTTCCTTACATCACTGAAACCACTGAAAAGTGTGGGACACCAATTTAAATCGTTAAGAGATTAACAAGAGCAAAAATAATGCTTGTCAATAATGTAAATAAAGTTTCAACCCATTGCTCTCCTAAACAGGTACAAAACTTCTACCGATTATGTAACGGCAAATTAAGGTACTATCTTATTCAAAAATGTTAACTACTACTTAGTAATAACTGCAGATAATCCAGAAGCGTTTCCATTTAACTGCTGCATCATAGACCCGCCTCCTAATTCCGCAAATGACAAATCACTTAACGAATAAGGATATCTAAAAATTTTGCAGAAATGTAACATGCAGAAAAACCAAAACAAGAAGTTTCTGAAGTCCTTAGAGAACTGAAGTCTGGAAATTAAGATTATTCCGGCAGCCTTTTTCTGCACGGTGAATTCCATTGTTCAACTGCTCAAGAAAAAAGAAAAAAACTTCGTGACAATACCCATTTTTGTACTCTAATTGCCAAAATTCCAACAAATCTTCATTAAAAAAAAGGTTCAGACACATTTAGTAACACTCATTTCATCCCTAGGGCAAAACTCCATATACCCACACAAGTTAAGGAGTTTGTACGAGTCATTCACATACTGTTTTTTTTAAGAAGAGAACAGCAAGAGACACATGCGAAAAGTGCTAAGTAATTTCTAAAAAGACGACAGTTTATAAATACTTCTACATGAAACTGAAAAAAAAGATTACGCTTTCAAAGCAGCATGTGAAGACGTCTCAAAAGAGCGTTTCTGATGCACCGGACCAGAGTATCTTTTACTTGCCTCTATTTTCTTTTTTGACAATATAGATTCTTCCGTGAACGCGTTCCTCAGAGTAGAAGCCAGGACATCGATGCGTTTCTGGTTATCCTCGAATCTTTAATAGATAACTATGTACATAATTATACCAATATTTTTCAAGCTAAACTAACTTTTCAATTCATTAATCGTACGAAAAAAACAAAAAACGAACTTTTTGGATGGCGCTGTACCTGCAGCAACATAAGTCATAACTTCCTTATCATTTTGGTCATTACCGTTACCATCGTTTTGTAAGTTGTCTAAATATATTATTAAGGAGAAAGAATCCCGAACACAGATCAGAAGATGCACCTAAATTAAGCTTACGCTTTATCTAATATCCTGAATGTTTTGATAAACAATTTGTCCCCCCGTCAGAAAATTTTCGCTCTCAACTATTGCAGCATTTTAAAAATAAAATTACCATAAATGCTGTAAATGCGCATGGAACTCTTTGTACTTATTATTAATCTGCAACAGGAAAATCAGAAACACTTTTCTAAAAGCTTACTGTGAAACAAAATTGAGACAAAAACGGTAAATTGAAAACACAGTAACTTGGTTCAATAAAATACGGAGAATTTTCCCGCGTCGTTTACGATACCAAAAACTATCAGAGCTTAAAGCTTCCTTACAGTTAAAATACAAGTCTGAAAGCTAATATCTCTACTGAAATACAGCGTTTTCAAACAGAGGATGTAATCTTTATCTTAGACCCATAATTTTAATTTAACTGAACCCATAGTTCTAAATTCTTAGGAATAAACAAGTAATTCGCCCACGTAACTTCAGTAGTCTATTAAACAAAAGTTACCGGAAGAAAAATGAAAATGCTAAAAATTGCTGTCAATAATATGAGGAAGGTTCATTTTTCAATTAATGAAAAGATTCCTCAAACTTGAAATTTGTTTCAGAGGATGGCTCAAACCAAAGATTTGTTTGTTGATTCCTGAGAAATACGAAACCTTTTCGATATCGTACAGGTGTATGACGCCGCGAATCGATTTTCCCGTGAGTCACCACCGTTTTCGAAGACATATCGCTCCTAAACTCTACTGTTTTCTTTTTTCTTTCTTTTTTTGTCGTCACTGTTACTGTTATATACGGCAGTGATGTTATCACAGAAATAAACTTTGAACAAGAAAAAAATCAACACCTAATAACAGCAATAAACAGTAAAAAAACTGCAGTTATGCCTTAATCTGTACCCCATATGTGCAAATGATTATCCTGCCTGACTAAGCTCGGACTCAGAAACCATAAAGTTCTTATAAAACCATTTTTACCAACATTTGCACTAAATTTAATGAACACTTGCCGCAAGCAAAATAAACACTTTGGCTACAATCTCCTTTTTAAACAGATGGCACTTTAAAGTTGACAGAATTTTTTGCAGCGAGAACTATTTGACAAGCAACGAACACTGAAAAAAAAACGTTCAGAAGCACAAACAAAGAAAACAGCTCTTAAACTCTGACTTCAATACTCAAGCGGCTTCCTGGCGCATTCCTACAACTAAAACGATGATGGGCTAAAACACAACCGCAGTACAGGAACGTCTGCTAAAAAGTGATTCTGTAGTTGCCAAAAATGATAGCAACAGTTTTGGTGGAATACTTCAGGCAACACTGTTTCACACTGCCATTTTGCCGAAGTGCCTTTCAAACACCTTCCGTTAACAGGAACAGTTTGTTTACAATGTTTTCTAAAAATAGGTTAATCAGACGCCAAATTGGTAAACTGAGATGAATCTGAAGAAAAGCGACGTCTTTATGACAACAGCTGGGGAGCAGTAACTTGGTTACACGGAAAAGAAAGGAAGATGAATTTGGTTTCAACTGATCAAATGTAAGCGAATTGGCAAATTTGATGCCGCTCGCTCTGAAACCATCAAAGTGTGTATTTTTGCGTATTTTAACACTTAATATTAGTTTTTTTCCCTTAGAACAAACTGAGGATAAGCTAACAAAATAGGAGTTTAAGAATTTGGAAATTTCCTCTCACTTAGTTTACACTTATTGAATTTAATAAATTTTTTTTCTTTTGCAGCGACAAAAAAATACATGTATTTATTGCAAGTATTTTTTGCTTCCTCCTTGTCAGCCTAAAGGAAAATCACGATTATTTTCGACAACTTTTTGAAAGCTTTCAGTTTTTGAAAATGATGAATTGTACTGAAACATTACTGCGTATTACTGGTTGCTTAAATCCGTGTCGTTTCAGTCCGTCAATGATTTTAAGCTAAATATGGTGTGGCGAACATTTTTGAAGGCATCAGTCTAACCACAGTGGAGTTAGGCTCCATCAAAAAAAATTTTAAAAAAAGGAAGAAACTGTTATCAATATTCCTCCATTAGCAGTTACTGATAAGTCAGCAGCGGAAGACTAGTGTATATGATGATCCCACAGAGCACAATCAGTCCAAAAAAATAATATAATAGTGATATTGAAGAAGAATAATAGCATTATCTGTCAGAAGTCATCGAGTATAATTGGTTTTGCAGATTGCGCGCGAGGGTCACCTAAGATTCTTGCAGGTGGTCTTGTACTTACAGTCGATCAACAAGGTGATATATGGGATTTGGCTAATAAATTAGGTGTTATCTATTTGCAAAATATAGTCTTGACAAGGCGCCGTTTTCTTGACGACAGCTTTCCATAAGTGTTTGCTGCGGTCTCATTCGTTATCATAATGCATCCTCCTTCAACTTTCTTAACACCGCCTGTCAAATGACTGAGTACCACACTTGGTCAAGAATTCCAAAATGGAGACCTTCTACAACGAATTCCCTTCCCGATCAAAAGTAATGGCTTGCCTCGTGCTTCACTGGCTGCTATACATCCAAATCATACTGACTCTTGAATGTGGAACTGCCTAATGGCCGTTCCATGATGTCACTTGAGTAGAGATACGATTTTCATACGGCTACTTGTCAACTTTGAGTGTAGTAACAAACTTAGTGTTGAACGAACCTTGCCGCCTTGAAATAGCTTTCAGGGGTGTTGTTAGCATGTGGGTGTACATTATTACGGTAATGGGATAAAAATCAAGGAACATTCTGCTTTCCGAAAGTTATTTCAGCTTTTGAGAGAATTCTTTTGATGGCATCAACAAGACTCTCTGGCATACCATCGTTCTGAAGACGAAAGGACGGACAAAAAAAATGTTGAATACAAACAATCAGTTGAATTCAGATGGCTGAAATAGCAACCTCTTATCTGTTTTTGAAGGTCCTGAGATATCAAAGTGTGAAAAACAGCCATTTATTGAATCTATAATAGAACTAGCATTTATAGGACTTAAACTTAAACAGAATACCCCTAGCCACTTAAAAATTGAGTCTGGAACCAAGCAGTATTAACCTTTAATAAGTTACAAAAATTGGCGTGTAACTGGACGCAAGATCATCCACTATTTAGCCGATCCCACAGTAATGTCATTACAAATATCCTTGGAGTGCTGTTACAATGTGCGCACTTCTGCAAGCAGCTCTCAACATCTATTTCTATTGTAGGTCAATGGCAGCACGGGCGTCTTCCTGACTTCATCCTTTGAAGTTTGGGATGTTGAGAGTACGAAATATCTATTAGGCGCTTAAGTAGCTACATAGAAATAATAACAGGCGAAATCCAAAAGACTTGGTCATCTACTTTTGGAAGTTTGGAGCGTTCTCGGAAGTAGGGAAGAACTTTATACACACCTGATTGTGCAAAAACCTTTTTTTATGTACATCATTAGTTCTAAATTTTTGTCGATACGGCACTTGCCGCCTCTACCATTGAAACTAGTAGAGACTCAAAAAATTTAACACATGCTTGATTGAACTGTTTCTTTTTTTTTTTTTTTTTTTT